TTATTTTGAAAATAATTCCGAACGAATGTCTGCGTCGAATAAATTGATTGTTATAACGTAGTATTAGTTGGAAATCCATCTTCTTAAACTTTCGGAATATTTACGACTAAGTTCATTAATTAATATGCAATAAAAGAGGATAATATAGCAGTAATTCATTTGTATGAAAACGGCGATAAAATATAGTTCATGAAAAACTGCAGAAATATATATATATATATATATATATATGCTGAGAATTCGATTCCGCGCAGGAGTAAACCTGTACAAAAATCCGGGTGATGCTGGCGACTCACCTGTATTTCTATCGCCAAGGTACTCCTTGGTATATTGCTCAATGGACAAGCCAGTCCAGCCAGTTTAACCAGTAATGCCAAGGATGCTTAAAAAATATATATTATTATCCAAGATATAATATTATCCAAGAAGTCAAACGTCAATTCTTCTCTTTGATCGCTGTCCTATAACTTAAGGATTTCCATCTCAACGCTCCACCGTTCTAGACTAGATGTTCATGAAGATATAAAACTGTTCATTACTTATTTGGTAGAATTTGGTGACAGGTTTTATGAATATTTACCTAATCTTTTTTGCGAAATATCTACTAGTTTCGGCACTTTACTAGATTTTTTTTCCTTTAATTGAAAGGAAAATTTAATTTTTGGCATTTTTCTATTTTTTTCACTATCATCGACAAGAGTAAACCCATCACAATATCTATATCAAGAAAAAAATCCGAGTGGCTGCAGGAGACCCATCTGTAACTCTATTCTCAAGTGTCTCCATGGTGAAAGGGTCTAATCTCTTCCTCAACACGTGGTCCTCCGACGGACATGGTACTCCCAGCCCGGGTTCTATATGCAATAAGTATATATAAGTATAGTTTATGAGTTTATGCGATCCTAAGGCTTTTGAATAAAATGGTACGAAAAAGTAAAATATGCTCGCAAGCCAGGATAATTGCTCGAAACCAGTCAAGGGGAACGGCTCTGTAAGCGAGTTAGCCATAGTAGCCATGGAATCAGAACGCTTATGGACGTAGCAAGTCAAGCGATCACTGTCCATATTTTTTTTAATATCGTGCGGATGTTGCTTGCTTGTCGAAAGTCCGTTCTCCTCGCTTAGAGTCTCAAGTAATTAGTAAATTTGGCTCTGAGAAGAGGTACTCGTTATACCATTTTTTCGGATAACTTGAGGTGGCGTAGCGATTATCATATCTGAAAAGGCCCATTCTGCTTTGATCGAGTAAAAACCAGTAAACGACCTTTAACGACCTTTAAAGGTAAGTTCTGTCTTGGTCATAAATGTTTATACTCCAGCTTTATGCGCTGATAATCGCGGTAAGGATAAATTCTATGCGGAACTTCAATCGCCAACAAAATCTCTACCGAATCATACTGTCATAATTAGGGAATGCATGCCTAGGACATGACGCGGTTGTGATAAACTTAGCAATTGGCAAATATGATATCGGAGTCTGATGCGCCAGTGGGGGAGCGCCTTTTTCGCTTTCTCAATAAACAACAACAATTGCTCTGGAATGGCAGATGAATACTAGTCACAATTAAAGGAATGAAGTCGACCAATTCCACGCTAGGGCACACTAGTAGGAAATGGGTATAGTTGGGTACCGGCAGTTATTGCCCAATTGCCCAAAAAAGCCACTAAAACATAAATATTAGAAAATCCTAGCTACCGGATGCTTCGAAGAATTATAACGACAGCAGAAAAACAAGATAGAAATCGCTATTGGAGCGATATGGCTTCGAAAATGGAGACCATGGAAAATGGAGAAATGGAACAGTGGAGGCGACTGGATGATAATAGGAAACTATTCTCATAAAGTAACTGGGCAACAGTCAGTGAACTGATATGGGATAGCAATGGTGTGCCTGTTAAGAGTATTAAGAATCGCCAACTAAGCTGGATTCAGACTGAGACCAGGTGCGATTGTGCTAACCAGATATTCATATTAAGATGAATGTTGAAACATCATTTCAAATATCTGCAACCCACTATCACGTTTTTAATCGATTTTACAGCTGTCTTTGATTCAGTTGATAGAGTGGTACTTTGGAGGGTGATGAGGATGATGATGGTGTTCCAGAGAAAATTATTAGACCAATAAGAACATTTTATCAGCATACATTGGCACAGGTCTATGATATGAGGAAATGAGGAAATGACAGATTTTTTCGAAATAAGAATTCTTCAAGGCTGCGTCCTTTCGTTCTCTCCTCTACAGTATTCAATTATGCGATAAACTGGATAATGGAGATCGCTTGTGAGCACTCAAGAGGTATCCAGAGCACAGTATCATTGATCCCGAATGCGTTGATGTAGTCTTTTATTGACAATTATGGCGAAATGCAAATAGTGCTAATAAAATAATGTGTCAACAACTGTAGCGAGAAATAGATTCAGGATCGATATAAATAAAAGTCTTTTTTACAAGAAGCTAATAAAATACCTATTTTCATCGATCATTGCCGATTGAAGAAAAGCTCGATTTTAAATATCTTGGATCCACCCAAATGGCTAGCAAAAGATGAAATTTAACCCTGATAACGGTTAGAAACGGTAACTCTCTTCCGGTTCGCGAATTCTTTCGAAGCGGTCACGAAATCACCATAAAGACGAAAGTCTGCATCCATATAGCTGCAATTCGCTTGATTTTGCTATATGGCTACGAAACATGGCCTATGAGTGGAAGATATTCAGAAGTCTACCTCTGACCACTCTTTTCTAAGATTTGCCAGTTCAACGTGCAGATAAAATCTCATAGGATTGCATGCACCTTTGCTCAAATACCACCTGCATTAATAATACCATCATAGAACCATATTATCACTCTTGATGGGTGGCGTCAAAAGCGAGGTGGACCAATCAAGTCTTGGATTGATGCAGCCAAAAAAGATTTTGAATTTATAAGAGGACCAGCAATATATGGACTTAGACTGTAGAGAAATAAATGACTTCCATTAGTACCAGCGATAGCATCAGATCGAGCAACTTGAAAATATCTTATCCTTATAGCCAGCATAACCAGCCTAACTACTAATGTTTGATGAAGAAGGAGAATAATTAATTTCAGGTTTCAACAAAACCGACTGCTATAAAAAATCTTTCTTAAAAATAAATTTTTCAAATTATAAAAGGTTAATGCTAAAAAAGTTTTTTCTTAAATAATTTAAAATTAGTTAGGTAAAAAGAAAAATATGATTGCTTGATGGAATGTCCATTCTAATTAACTGAAGTTTCTTATTTTTATTGTATTTAAATTTGTAATTTTCGTTAGAATATTTCGTTTTAAATTTATGGTGATAAAATTTGTTATTTACATGAAAAATATGATAATTTGTGCTTATTACAAAATGATTTAAATAAGAGACAACTTCCCCTTTCTAGTGATGAAGTTAAAAGCTTACATCTCAATCCGAAAGGTTTCTGTTTTCCTTCTCCTCTCCTTTAAAAATTAATTATAATTCAAAGCCATTATGTGCAAAAACTAAAATTGCATTTAAATTTTACATGGCCACTTTAAATTAAATCATTTATCACCGCATCGTTGAGCTATTGATGAAAATTTAAATTTTTACGTCTATAGCAAAGTAATAGTAAAAAAATCATCAAATCATCTAAACGGCTAAATTTATTATGTTTATTAGATCAGTTAAAAACACAGACCCATACTAAATTACATATGCTTTGCTTCTCGATTCTGAAAGTCCATTAAGCTTACCGAAGGACTGCAAAAGAACTTCACTTCACTTCACAAAGGATTTCACTTTAAATTGAATCAAAAATTCTGTCTATGCTTCATATAAGTTTAACTAACTAGATACAATGGATTAAAACTATTATAATCTATAAGAATAAAAGGAGAGTTCATAATCTTTTTGTCCGTACCATTCATTGTTGGAATAAACTTACTAGGCGACCTAATAAGTAATTTTAAAAGGCTGATAAACATTTGCGATTTTCTTCAATCTCGTACGTAAATTTTTTTCCTTTTAAATATTTTTCTCTTTTTTCTATTTCTTGAATTTGAATTTGAATTTTAATTGTAGTTAAAGATAATAAGGCATTTTATAAAAAATCATTTTTAAAAATACAAAAAAGAAAAGAAGAATAAATATTGTAAAATATATTCCATAATATATAAGATTGCGATGCAAAAAAATGTGTCATATATTGTCCATAAATTTTGGAGTTTTGGCTTAAAAAATATTATAAGTTGTTTCAAAGATTTAGCTTGCATTCTTTTCATGATGTTCCTTAAAATTACGAGCAATATTGTGAATGTGATCAGCAATTCAACTGAATTTTAAGAAAATCACGCAAAAATTGAAAAAATTGATTAAAATCATAAGTATTAAAAAAATTCATTAAACAAATACAATTTGGATAAATATACAGTTACACGGCATTTTGTAAAAAATCATTTTTAAAAATACAAAAAAGAAAAAAAGAATAAATATTGTGAAATATATTCCATAATATATAAGATTGAAAAAATGGGTCATTTTGTCTATTTATTGTAATATTTTAGATTACATCTCGAAATTTCAATAAATGTGAAAAATAAATGAAATAAGATAACAGTGAGATAACAGCCAATCTTGACTGTTAATATATATTTAAACCATTTATCAAAAATGAAGGACCAATTTCATCTAAAACACGTGCGTTATATAAAGCCATATTGAAAAAATATTTGCCAGTGATATCTTCCAAGCATCATTTTTTAATCACATTGCAAGTATTATTGTATTTATCACTGAGCGGAATATTAAGCCATTGATAAGTCAAATTTGTAAATTTCCAAGCATGAATTGTCTATACATTGATTTGTACGCTGGTATTAAAAATTTTTTGGCAGAAATTTGATAAAAATCTAAGATGATCGGGAACAAGAAAACAGAATTACTTAATAATATCCAAAAACATTTGATCTTTCTTCGAAAAATTTCTTTTTACTGATGAAAATTTTACTGTTCTTAATGTAATATCGAAAGATATTTCGCAAGTGGCTTAACATCATATTTCTCTAAACATGAATCATGTATGAGACTGAATTCAGCCAGTAAGTAAAAACCTGGATTAACTTCGTATGAAAATAAATTGTAGCCATTTCTTGAGAACAACTATAAATATAAATTTTAAATTTACTTTTTTTAAACGATCATTAAGGAATTGATGAAAGATTTATGGTTCGTGAAATAATCCAATAAATAATATCTCCATTTAAAAGCAGTTCATGAGTATTTGTGTTTATAAATCTATGCACTTATTGGTATATAAAAACATACTTCTATCAGATTTTTTAGAAATCTAATGCATTTAATTACACTGTGATGCCAAGAATTAAAAAATACTTACGCCTAGTAGTTCAATGCCCATTGAAGTAGTACCATGTATTTCGATAAGAATTTGGCAAATATTACCATTAAGTATGAGTGAAGGAATTACTTGAAATTCATAACCTGAAAATTAAGAACTGAACTCCTCCTTTAAACTCCCATTAAACTATCATTTGCTTAATTTTTTGCATTGCATATTCTGTAAATTTGATTATAATGTTCATAAAAGTTTATCACCTTCAATATCTATCTTTAAAATTTCCAATGCCGATAAGTTATACAACTTTAAAAGATGATGAACTGTGTAAGTACGAAAATTTTCATTCGTAAAATTACTGATTTTGGCGATTTGAAAAATTGCATTCGCTTTTTTAAGTCGTTCACGAATATCTTCATCTTGATCATTCTATTTAAAAAGAAAATTTGTTACGAAAGGCAAATGAAATAAAAAGAACATTAAAAAAATAATTAGAACTACTCAAAATTAATGAACAGTTTGATAACTATTTGATCACCATATCAAAAGCGTATAAACTACATCGCTTTCCACTGATTTCTTGTATCTCTTCTTCAAAACTAATTTCATTGTTGATACCCAAAGAAAGAATAAAGCAGTTCTCTTGAGGAATGTTGAATGGATTGCAAACCCATTTACCACCATCGGCAACATTACCAATTCGAACAAGCTCCGAACAATATACCTGAGGTTATAATTTGTGACTTTTACACTGATTGAAATTTTATAAAAGGGAACTCCACACACACAAGAACTGTAATGAGCCAGATAATCGCTGTTGATAAAAGGCCAAGATTTTTCTAAAAAAAAATCTTTCAAGCCATAGTTGCTTCAGATAATGGGAAATATAATACGCTTCTTACCTCAGGTGCAAACGTGGAATATATTTCATCATGCGTGAATGCATACATCATTTTTTTCCATCGTATCTGACTTTGGCTTGAATAATATTTTTTCATTTTCTCAAAAGCAATTCGTTTATTTGCTAATAAAATTAATTTCACATTGTTATATTTTCTTATTACTGTAAGAAATACAATACATAAATAAATTGTTAGTAAAGACAATAAAATTCCTCTTGAAATTCTGCATGAATTTAAAATATCTTTGCGAAAAGGTCGAAAACAATATTTCGAACTTAAATATTTTATATTCGGCATTTCAAAGAAATAAATATTTGATTTCTCGATTGCCAAATAACTTTAAATGTTTGGATAATTCGCGGCTTTAAGAAGAAATTCTTTCTAAAAATAATAGTTATAATAAAATGAGAATTTTCGTCTTATCAGCATTTAGATTCAGCTTTCGTTCAGAGACCTTCTTGTAATAACAGTTATTTTCAATACTCTCTATGAAATTTTATTTTATAAGCACAAAAAATAATTCCACAGACTTTCATTTAGCCTTTCTATGCAAAAATTATTATTGGTAGCTCGTTGCCTCTTGCAAAAAGCATCGCTGCATCCTCAAATTGAAAAACCTTAATTATTGTGGACTATTCTGGATTTTCTTGACCTCCCATTAAAATTAAAAAATAGTACGATAAAACCAAAAATTCGTTTGGAATCATCAAAAATTGTCAATCAATGAAGAATTTTTGAATGAAAATTCAGTGAAAAGATAAAGTAAATATGAAGCACAGCAGAACAAACTTCATAACTATTGTGTTAGTGTTAATTCGCTTAAATTCTAATTTATATGCTTCGGCGTGATTGCCAAAAGATGAAAATACCTATCAGAGTTTTTTTCACTTCTATGGCAGAGCCAGTAAGTAGGCTTCTTTTACTGCATTTTACGCGTTCACCCATCATTATATGCATTATGCTGCGATTTAATTAATCTCTCCTTTGGCCTCGATTATTTCAATACAATGAGTGTTTAGTACCTTTCAAATTTTTTTGCAACATTGTATAAAGCATTTAAGCCAATATTACTATCCGTGCAATCATTTCGATATATACATCTTGTTCAGCGAATCTATTAGCAACAGGGCCTGGAGTAGGCCTAAAAGGCCCACGGCAATTTTCTTAGAGCATATAGCAGAAGACATCGATTGTGCGAAATGGGGTTTTGGAGAATGTTGGAAAAATCGAAAACTGGAAGGCACTTGGTGAATGTTATGATAATTAGGAGGCAAAATTTCATGGCTCGCGTTTCCGAACAAAGAATGACAGGGTTTATCGAAGGAATATGGAAGTTTGGAGAGATGATGATGAAATATAGTAGAATTGGGAAAATGAGGGAGGGTGTTTACGGCAATTTGGGATTCAGATAAGTGCAATGAAGCTTGACAGATTGTTTGTAGAGCTAATTATGAACAGGTCTGAAAGCAAAGAGATTCTTTATGAAGCATAGCGAGGTTTACCAAACAGTGAGGAAATATAAAAGACTTTGAGGAGATATTAACCGAGCATTGACAAGAAACTATGATTATGTATAAGCAGCTATGGTCGACTTTCACATAGAACTGCTTAACATTTGTCCGACTTCCTTAACTGGACTACACCAGCTGAATTATTAGAAATTTACTTTTAATGCAACTTCAGAGAACAATTCTGGTTCAAACTGTTTCGGTTTCTTGTAAAAATTGTTTTGTCTTGTATAAATCTATTATAACGATCTATTATTGTAAACCAACGTTAACAATCTTATAAAGCATAATTGTGGTACTCTTCGACTCTGACATTGACTTAGCAAAGGCTTAAAGCCTTTTTAATTCTCTTAATCCTTTTATACTTTTTGTCATATGTCGCTATAATCTTTTAACATTCCTGAGGCCATAAATCTGAATAGTTTTTTCTTCACAACTTTGACAAATTATCAGAATATAAGCCGATGTTTTAAAGGTTAAGGTCTATCATCATGCAGTTTGGTTTTTTAAGCTTAAATGTTTCATACACTGGTTTAATTGGCTATCGTTTTCTTTTACCATACAATGATGGTCGTTCCTGAATTTTAAAATTTGCTAAGTTTTTTTTGAATTTTAAAATAAAGAATTGAAAATTAATTCTCAATAAATTATAAGTTATATACATATATGTACATATAAAATTAAAACAAAATAATAAATAAAATAATAAAATGTAAAAATAAAAAATAAATTTGGTTTTCTTTACGATAAGTTTTGTTTTTTCAATTAATTTTTCTTTTTAATTTCTGCTTTTTTTATTTTTTCTTCCCGATTTTATTTTCTTTACCTTTGTCTTTGATAGGAATAAACCTGCCATAATATCAAATCTGATTGGTTGCTTGGACCCACTTATAACTCTATTCTCAAGCGACTCTATGATGAAAGGACCTGGTCTTTTTGACATGGCGTCCACCGACGCGAATGATAAGCCAGATGGTACATATGATAAGTATGCAAACCTGGCAGTAAAACGACAGCCAAAGTTTGAATAAGATGTGCACTCGAGTCTAATCACATAAAATTTCCAAGATAATCAACTTGTCACCAGATTGATTATATTTTAGTCAATTATCGTTTGGAGAGGAGCTGTAACTTTCATGGATCTGGCTATACTATGGTTCGAGTCAAGATCCGCATAGAATTACAATGACAGTAGTACTTCAAGACAGTCAAAACAGAAATGGAAATGGTTACTCGATTAGGCAATAATAGAAAATTATTCTGCATTCTTCTATAACTAAGAGAACGGTGAAATCAGTGAAATGATATGCGATAGTAATGGTGTTAAGGCTATTAAGGATGGCCTTGCTTGCCTAGAAGGAATTCCTTATGGTCAGACTTATAGCCACAATGCACCATTTTTTATTTCGGACAGTCAATTCGTTCGTCGAGCCAAATGTTTATAAACTGTGAAGCAGAACAGGAAATATTTGCTATTCAGAAACTTAAGGCCAATAAAACTCCTTCATAAGACACCTTTAACAATGTCCTCTATGGTACAAAAGAGAAAATAATACTTCCATTAACAAGGTCATTACAGAGCATTGGTTAAAGTTCTTCACAGCTCTCACAAGTGTTGATACATTTTCTTACTTCGTTGAGTAATTTCGAAAATGGCTAACCTTGTAATAGATGGCGTCAAAAACGAAGAGAGCCAATCAAGATCTGATACAGCTAGGAAAGATTCTGAACCTAGAGGAGGTGAACCAGCTATATATGCATTTAGCCGATGGAAAAACGGATTTCTTGTAGCCAACGGAGCCAGTCTAATTAGTAATCTTAGAGGATGAGTCACATCGATGAGGTTCTATCTACCTTATCAAATATCCTTGATTTATGTTTCTTCTTCTTCTAACAGCTTTCACCATTACTGAATAGGCTCCATTGGCTATAAGGGCATAGCGTTTCCAAGTTGCTTTTCTCCACCGTCTAAATCCATATATTGCTGGTCCTCTTACATGTTCAAAATCTTTCCTGGCTGCATCAGTCCACGACTTGACTGGTCCACACTGATTTTGACGCCACAGGGTTTAGCAAGTAACGAAATATGTGTCAACTTTTGTGGTGAATGATGAAGAACATGCAACGCTCTGTGATGATACTTTTAATGCAAGTGGTATTTGAACGAAGATGGATGCGATCATATAAGATTTAATCCACTCGGGGAATCCGCAAAATGCACCTTAAGCAATCTAATAATATTGCCTTATGCTAGTCTTGCCATTAAAACATATCAATTTGAAAATAATACATTTTTCATTTTTATTACTTACTAATTCCCAGTGGACAACGAAAGATATTTTACAATTGATTTGACAACATACTTCGCTATGCATGATTCGTGAATTAGGCTGAATTCAGTGAAGCACATATAAACCTGAGATGATTTCATTAGAATATAAATTATAACCATGTTATGGTACAATTTTGATACAATAGCTATAAATTATTTATTGTAAATAAAAGTGATGAATTACGTAATACAAAATAAAATTTAAATGCAAAATCACATTATTATTGCTATAAACAGGCTATTATAGCTTTACAGGTCTCCATCACCGCTCTCCATTTCAGTTTTACCTGGTCCCAGTGATTCGTTGGATATTTTTTATCAGAAAATCATTTAGAAATGGAAGTAACAATGAGCACCCAACATCTACAATTTTTAACGAAATAGCTACTCCTTTTTTCCCACGGATATAAACTTGAGGTATACGTTGCTCGAACCAACATCCTATATCTTCCCTAAGCATGATTTTTTTGCATCTATTATATTTTTAGGAATATCACATTTAATTGAAATTAAATAAGCATAAAAGACTTGAAACAGTTCATAATTCATTCCAGGACTGTATTTCAATAAGAATTTGACAAAAACCATAATTCTGAATAATAATAATTGAATTGAAGGAATTACTTGATATTCATCATCTGAAATTTGAAAATCTTTTATCATTTGTGAATTTACATGATTCTTCATTCATAACTGAACAATTTTACAGATTCTCGATACAGATTATTAGATTTTCTTAAAGTACCAATGCTATAGCGCTTTGGTGCAATGTAATACGCCTAAAATGGTTTAAATGTTTCATCAGCTTGAACATTGATCGGATAGTTAACCAAATAAATCATCTATCGATTTTCAAAATTTCCACTGTCGATATGTCATAAAATGTCCAGAAATATTGAAATATATAGTGCAAATATATAATATTTTCATTCATAAAATTATTGATTTTGTAGTTCTGAATATTCCATTCACTTTTTAAAGTCGTTTACGAGTTATTTCATCCTGGTTGCCCCAGTTAAAGTTTTTTAAAAATTTTGCAACTAAATTGTGATAATAGAAAATTTTCCCAAATATTTAAACAAAAATTTCAGACGCGTTTTTTCGAATTAGTGAAAGATTACCTTATCAAAAGCATATAAAAGACAGTTTTCCGTTGAATTCTTGGATCTCTTCTTCAGAACTAAATTGTTGATACCCAAAGGAAGAAT